TTTACTTCACTCACATACAGTCACTCCTGGTATAAAAGGTCATTCCCACTGACCTCTGACCTGCAGGTGTCGACGCTGTGAGCTGCAGTGCAATTACATTTCGTACAGCAGTAGCTGAAGGTGGTGCAACATTTATCTCCTCCCCTGTTAACACCACCTGTGTATTTTCAGTCATTTATACCAGGCAGATATACAGTATTTATCCTGTGTTGTAATTCCCGTGGAGCAAAAAGTACACGTTGTGCAGTTAATAGAGTGGCATTTTGAAAACAAGGATAATCATTCACAGTAGCAACAAAAAGAACAGTGTTGCTGTTGACTAAGAAAGTCTTGCTGTTCTTTTACCGCAGCTCTTTATACTGTACAGGAGCACTGTCTCACGTAGCGGAGCTAATCAATTTTAATCCCTCCGACAATGCCATACAGTGTTGTACAGAGGAAGTTTCTAGAGAGCCTACAAGAGCTCCGTAAACCAGAGGTATTAGGTAGTGGTAAAATATAAAAACATAAAATCCATATGGACATTATTGACTGAGAGAGATGCAGGACATGCTAGATAACAGTGAGACAGTAGGGAGTGTGCAGTCGAATGGACTGATGGGTCCAGGATTAGAATGTCAATCATTTATTTGTACAGATGAGTTTCTGACATTGGTGTATTTCAGTCATTACTGTTCATCTTGACGGTGTTGTGTAGAAAGTGTGGAGCAGTGGTTCCCAAACTTTTTCTACTCTGTACCACCTGAGAAAACACTGAGCTCTCTGAGTACCACCATGGTGACCAACATTAGAATACAGCAGCAGAGGCCTTCCCTGTTAGCTTCCACCACACAGGAGAGATGTTTAGAAATGTTTGTACAGATGTTTATGTTTAAATGTTGTATTCATTGTGCATGGTATGTTTCAGATTTATTCAATTGAAAATATAAATGTGAGTGCTTGTGTACCACTGGTGGTACACGTACCACAGTTTGAGAACCACTGGTGTGGAGAGTTTCTTCCTAAACTTCAGTCCAGTTGTTGTCCTCAACAACATTAATCTTTGTACAGTCCTGAACAATCCATTTGAGTCAGTCGTAGACCTTCCAAATGCTACCTGTCTGTGGGTCATTTGGTACTGAGCCACAGTGCACCGCAGCGATTTAGAGAGAATCCAGTCTTTTTCATCTACTCTCTTCTTTTAAAGATAATCCTGCAATTTTTATGACTCCAATACAAACAGGATAAAGTTTAAAATATGTTTTATTTTGACAATTTATCAAGCCTTAATGATGATACAATATCTGTTGGCTTCATAGATGTATAAACAGGATGGAGTACATTCCACCATTCAAATTTGCTGACCCCGACTCCCCATGACGCCCACTGATCCATCCAACTTTTTACAGATATTTGCTCAACTTCCACTAAAGTAAACACCTTATGCTTTATCTCAACAGTCCTGATTTATACTGTATGTTTATATCATTTATTGAGCCTTTCTTTAAAGACTCCTATGTAACTCGTGTTTATGACAGGATTACAACAATTAATACTTTGGGCAAAGACACGTAGTCAGGTTTAAGATCCCAAAGTCTTTGGAGTCTTTGAGTTTGACCACAGTAAAAAGTGATCACGCAGTGTAACCTGAGCAGGTTCTGCAGCTCCTCAGATAAGCTGCGACACAGCGAACGTTATTTGTTGAGCAGAAGAGTAAGGTGATATATATATATAAAAAAGTGAGGCTCAGACTGTACAGAGCCTCACTGTTCAGACAAAAGATAACAAATCAGAGGCGCAGGAGTGAACCGTGCAGCTACAGTTTAATCTGACAGAAAAACACCGAGTTTCAGATCTGAAGCAGATAGGGAGCCAAACTGTACGCACTGACACTAAAAAGAACCCACAACACGTGTTAGCCTGTAGATGCGTGCAGGATTTATGAATCTGAAAGTCAAATAAAAAATGTATGCTTTTTTTCCCCTTTGATTAGTTTTCATCACAATATTACTTCTAAACTTTAAGGGGTCGTGAATACATCAGTGAAATGTATGCCAAATAATTCTTGGCAAACTGTTTTCATAGATTTTTGGATGTTTACAAAGGCCTGGCTTTGACGTTTTTTTTTTTTCGTTTTTTTTTTGTTAGTATGAAATAATGCTCGTTCGTGTCTTTGACTATGGCACAGGACCTAGTTTTACCACTGTGTTTGCTCTCTATATTTGCCTAGTTTTTATTTCTTTGTTTGTTTGTTTTATTTTTTTAAGACTTCTATTGCATTTGTATTTGGGAAATAGCTTGCTTATGTTTGAGCAAGAGTGGAAAGTTGAAAACTTGAACACAAAAAGTTTCAAGTTACTCCAGCAGATGCCTTGTGTGTGTGTCTGTTGTGCCTGGACATATGGAGTTCTTTGTGATACCATACATTCCAGCCCCAGCAGAAAACAATGACTCGAGGTGTCATTCTTCTAAGACCTTGGTTTGAAAACGTAATAAAAGTTAGAAGTGAAAAATGTAGAGGAACCACATAAAAAGTGCAAAACAAAGAAATAATGCATCAAGGATGTCAAGAATGGGCTGGTGCCCAGGCTTTTCCTTTCCCAAGATCTTATACAACCTTTAATGGCTCCTCTGGGAGGTGAGGATAAAGGCTGGGGCAGAACTGACCTCTGGAGGATTCAGAAATTTTTCTTTCAGGTGTTAGAGGTAAACAATGCGCGTTGGGTCAATTATTTCCGAGAGACATCACTTCCTCTGTCAGTGTGAAAAACTCTTGTAAATGCAGCGAATGCAGGGAAACCGTGTTCCATGAAGCTTGTTATCTCTCCTAACACAGACATTTTTTGATCTCCTTTCAGATCAGACATGCCATAGAGCTACAGAGTGAATTATTTGGACTTTGTGTTTGTATGAGCTCAGCACATGACACAGGGGTGGAGAAAGTACTGGAGGGGCACAGCCCTAAGCCTCCGACCCACTATAAGAACATGATTGACCTCAAGGATCAGCAGCGCCGGATCCAGGTCGTCCAGGTGTTTGATCCGGGCACAGAACGAACCAGATGAAGTGAGAGACATCAGTGTGGATAATAACCAACACATCACACCTACAGACAGTTCATTTCAGTGATGTCTGCAGTGTGTTAGCGTGCCTCAGGGACTGCTGTTTATCTGCACAGCTCGTCTTGATTATTGAGCTGAGCTCTCCTGCCAAGGTAAGATGCTTTGCACATTCAACATTAGCCAGACATCACTTTAAACTAATCAACAAACCGGTTGTTAATTTTGCAGCTGGACATTTATTTAGATTGTTAGCTTCCTTTGCTCAAACCATTGGTCTTATGTCTCATGCAAACTCAACACGTACTGATAACTGAAGGTAAAAAAGGAAAACCCTGGGAGCAAGAATGACATTTAAATGTTCAATGCTCAAAATGCTCAAAAACATTTAACCCTGAAAAATAGACTAAACAAATTGTCTCTAAAACATATGAGTTACAGTGGTTTCCAAAAGTAAGGGGCAGGCCCCACCACAGGGCAAAGAGCTATTTTAGGGGGTGGAGTAAGATGTTCTCTTTATTTAGACAGTAATTTGTAATTCCATTTATACATATTATTTATTGAGCTTAGCTCTAATGCAGCTGTAGTAGTAGCTCTGAATGTGCCGAAGTAGTGGCGTTGACTATGGTCCTTTCTTGGGCTCTGTACAAAGGCTGTGGAACCACTGCTTTGACCTGGGCATATTTGCACATTTTAATTGGTATTAGTTGCCTTTTTTGTTACCAGTTTACTAACTCTAGTGTTGTTTCTTTTCTAAATGACCTCTGCTTGGTCAACAATGCTTTACACACACACACATATCTGTGTTTTCACTTGAAGGCCACTCACTCTGGAGGCTTTATATAGACCTTTGGTGATGGAGTTTGTCTCTTATTGTTCCGGTCTCTAAACAAACCCCACACCTCATACACAGGAACCTCACAGTTTTGTGACTAAGTGTAAATTGTGGCTCAAGTGGCCACAGTAGAAAGTATTTACATTATGGCAGAGTGCTCCAGGGCTATTACACTGGTAAATTACTAAAGAGCAAGACAAAAATTGCTTCGTGATTTTTTTTTTCTAAAAAAGAGCAATTATTTAATTGCACACACTAATCTTTGTTGAAACAGTGAGAAGCTCTCGTTCAAATATGCAGAATTTAGTTCTCACACCCTGGTGGTTACACTTGAAATGATCTATAATGTCTGATGGACGAGGGAGGCCATCCAATTTCCCACTCTCCTCCACTGCCTTATCTGTAAAATAATGCAGAATGTGCATTTACAGCTGCACAGCAGCAGCTAAAATCCCAGCCCAATAACAAAAGTTTTTTAGAACATTAAATATTCACCAGCGGCTGCACAGCCTTGGCTTATCCAAGAAGTTTTCAGAGCTCTAAACTAATTTATCAAACAAATCAAGCCGTCCTCATCTGAAAAAACACCACATCATCAGCCACTCCTGAGGATAACTCCCAGCTATTGACTGGTGTAAATTCAAGCTGCATTTGCAGCCTGATCGATGCTCGCCCTGAATACTCTCCACTGTGTAAACAATACAGTTGGCTGTTTGCTGATGGACACTGATTCATCACGTCTACAGCGAGACCCTGGATGACGAGCGCGTGTTGGACGTGTCATGTCACTCAAGGTCAATGCAAAGCGTAGCCAAAATATTAGCATCCCTGCTCTGAACCTACTTGTCAAATAAGTTTTCAGTTTTTTTATTGACAGATGTGCTTTTAGAAAGTATGGGCAGTGTAGAGACATTAGAGGTCAACAAAGGTCAGCAAACAGTGTGTACATAATAGGATTTTTAACATTTTCCCATACAGACTGTTGGTCTAGGATATCAAATTTGACTGGACCTTAAAGTTCCTCATCTACATCAGGGATCCCCAACCCACAGTTCGCAGACTGGCATCAGTCCATTGGTCATTTGCTCCTGGGCCACAGTGAAAAAAATGACATCATTTAAAGATAATCTGGCAATATTTTAAAATTAATAACCTGATCCTTAATGATCCTTCAACAATCGTGTTGGTGCTGCCATGTTCATGTCTGTGCTGCTCTGCTCTCCTGTGAACAGACACCCATTTCTTTTGGCTGTGTGGACTTGAAGAGGATTTTCCTCAGGATAAAATGGCTCCTGCCGTTGGTGGTCCTCAAGGCTACACGCCTCCTGAAGGCGGCTGGGGATGGATGGTGGTGGTTGGAGCTTTCATTTCCATTGGCTTCTCCTATGCCTTTCCAAAGTCCATTACCGTCTTTTTCAAAGAGATTGAGGTGATCTTCAACGCCAGCAGCAGCCAGGTCTCCTGGATCTCCTCCATCATGTTAGCAGTGATGTACGGCGGAGGTGAGCTACACACTGTCACACAGCCTCCCAAGAATGTGTTTGCTTGACATTCACTACATCAGGATTTGGTGACTAAATCATTTTCTTTGCACAGTTTGAAGAGGTTTAATCCAGCGGTGTTCAGTGGGGCCATTATTTCTGCTCCAACACTGACATACTCTCATTTCAGCTTGGCTAGTCCACAAAGACAACACAGAGCTTCAAACATCTGATTAAATAATCAATAAAAAAAACTTATAAGAGTAATTCATTATATTTTATGTTGTGACTGCAGTCGAATTTAATCAATTCAATTTTATTTGTACAGCCCAAATTTACAAATGGATCTAAAGAAATCAAACATGACACAGTTTAATACAGTTGAACTTATCATGAGTTTGTTGATTTTCCACAGGTGTCTTGAGACTGAAAGTCCATTCATATCTGCTGGACACTGCAATGTTTCTCTAGGATCACTTGGACAGATTTGTTATTATCCAAGGATAAAAGACATTGTAACTCAAGATGGTTGAAATCTGTCAGCTTAGCTGACAAAGGAAATCATGCCCGTGGATGATGGGGCAGGTAAAAGCGAACAGGAGTCATGTGCAGACATGAGCTGGTTCTCACCAGAAAATTGATTCAGAAAAACAGGAAAATAAATCTCAGAAAAAGCAATTTCTCAAAAAAAAAGTTTTAAAAAATGTTTCTCCAAAGAAGCAAAATCACAGATAATAATTTTTCAGTAAGCACAAAAAAAAAAGAATCAAAGAAGCAAAATCACAGATAATAATTAAAGGAATCAAATTTATTTGTCCATATAAACACTAAAAACATTTAGAATTTCAACCTTAAACCTAAATATATTGCTCCAATGGATTCGAGTCCAGTCCAGTTCTGTATCCTGTGACAGGTTTTCACTGAAGGACCACCAGAGGTTTGGTCGTGTTCCCACACTATTGACTTGACTGAGACAAAGGGTGATGTTACAGAGGTCTGAATGTTCAGCCCTTTATGCTCCCGCCAGGGATCACAAAGACGCTCTTGTCTCTGAAGATTATCTGTTGTGAAACTAAAACCCTGCAGTTTTATAATAACGTTATAACCTGGTTGTAAAATATATGAGGTTGACATTTTAATACACTAACCAGGGAAACTTCTCAGGGAGGAAACTTCTGTGCATCAAGCTAACGTGAAGATGGAAGTGTAAAGATTGCCAGCAATTTCATTTGCAGCAAGTTCATGGTAATATTTCACCAACATGAATGGAAGAAATGGAATATCACTTGTGAAAAGAATAAATGCTGAGCAAATACCTGACATTGATTAAATAAACGTGGAAAAAACTATTTAAATTTTTTTAGTTCAGCACAATGGTGGATCTAAGCTTCTTTGTACCAGATTCCAATGCATCACTCCTCAGAAATCACTCAAGCAGTTCTCTGCTTCTTAAACACTGGTTTATTCAACATCATGATTAATCATATTAATCAACAGCTACTGTGATTAATCGGTTACTGAACCATCCATTATCTCTAATCCCTGAGACTTAATAATAGAACAGATTTTGTCTAATCAACCAAATTCTTCACAACACCTTTGCATTACCTCCAAGGACCTTCTGTTGAGAACGCCTGTTGTAGTGTTTGGTACAGGTATTCCTCTGACACACAGGCTGAATACGCAGGTCACAGAAATGTTTCCATATATGTGTCTAACAATAGAAGAACACTCACTGCTTCATTGCCTTTAATGTCATTGTTGTGTTTTGTTGTCTTGTCAGTCACTCTTCTGGAACTGAACTTAAAAAACGAAGATGAAAACAAAGCTTGGTTCATACTTTTTTTTAACTTAACTTAATTATTAATGTATTATTAACAGTATACAATGTACAATAGCTTTTCGTAGCAGCACCATGTGCTGTGGTTGCACCAGGTACCGTTTTACAGTCAGGCAGTTGGTATGGTATTTTTAGGATACTGAAATAAATCATGCCATCACTGCTTGGACAAACTGAACCCTGTGACCCCAACTAAAAAAAATCTTCAGTTGACTGTTGACTGTGTTGCTGTTCGTTAAGCATTCTGAGCACTCCAGCAGAGCTTCATTAATGGCTCACTTCTGCATACTCCTGTGCTCCTTCAATTTTGGATTCATTACATTCATAATACCCTACATTGGTTTGCCTTCAACCTTTTTATCCTGAGCCACTCCGCCTGCGAGGCGGAAGGAAAAAACTCATCGTCGGACTGCAGACTCCCTCTATTACAATTTATAAATCCTTTGTCTTGCGCTGTGCTGGCAAATGAGTCTAGACAACCTCTAAACAAAAACTGTCAGTTTCGATTTAGCTTCACTGGCTACTGCACCGGCTGGGCAGAGACACAGGAGTGTCTTCTTCATGGACTTTCATACCTACATATGCTTGTTGCATAAGTCAGTGGTGGAGGTGATATGTTTCCATTTGATCCTTATCTACATTTTAGACATTTGTTTGCCATTCATCTTTAGTGGTTTTGCATATAGTGTGCAGTTTCACAGAAAGACACACACACAAACACTTCCACCTGCTCGTTTGAACTGAGAAAGTCCATTCAGGAAACTAATGACAAACAAAATATTCTTCTGTCAATTGTACGTGTAAGTGATTCAAATCACTCACTATTTCATGATAGATTTCACAGCTTTTTGTGACAGATTATTGATTCCTGTGAACACGTCTACTGCAGTGCAGCACTGACACTTTTGCAGAAGTATATGCATGTTAGCTGAGGCACTAGAGCCCTCTAGCGGTTACATATTGCATGTGTGATACACAACATGTTGCCAGAATCAAAACCATTCCTTGTCAATTTTATTTTTTATTCAAAATCTCTTACTTGCAGGTCCCATCAGCAGCATTCTGGTGAATAAATACGGCAGCCGTCCTGTTATGATTGCTGGAGGATGTCTTTCTGGTTTGGGTCTTGTTGCTGCGTCTTTCTGCAATTCTGTTGAAGCCTTGTACTTCTGTATTGGTGTAGTAGGAGGTATCTATTTTTAAACTTTTTATAATACAAGGTTTGGTCATGAATAACTTGTGGTTTTTCTTTAACACTGATGCCATCTAGTGTTCTTTAAATATAAAATGACCAAGCAATAACAAAAATCATCTAGTGTTCTTTAAATATAAAATGATCAAGCAATAACAAAAATATACTTGTTTGTTTGTTTGTTTTTTGTTCTACTGTTTAGGCTAAACTAATTTAGTTAATTTCATATGGCTCTTTTGTCTAGGCTTGGGTCTGGCTTTCAACCTCAACCCTGCCCTGACTATGATTGGAAAATACTTCTACAACAAGCGACCCATTGCTAACGGCCTCGCCATGGCTGGCAGTCCTGTTTTTCTTTCAACCCTGGCTCCGTTAAACACCTGGTTCTTTGATCGCTTTGGCTGGAGAGGAAGTTTCCTGATTCTTGGAGGTCTCCTCTTCAACTGCTGTGTAGCTGGTTCCCTCATGCGGCCTATAGGACCCAAACCAAAGCCTGTGGAGAAGACGACAGAGAAGAGGACTGTGACGCAGACCATTAACAGCTTTATTGACCTTTCTTTATTCAAGCACCGGGGATTTCTACTTTACATCATGGGCAACATTGTCATGTTCTTTGGCCTCTTTGCCCCACTGGTGTTTCTCAGTAATTATGCCAAAAGCAAAGATATACCCAAAGAAAAGGCTGCTTTCCTACTGTCTGTGCTGGCTTTCGTTGACATGGTTGCCCGGCCGTCGATGGGAATGGTGGCAAATACCAAATGGGTGCGGGCCAGGGTGCAGTACTTCTTCGCAGCCTCTGTTCTGTACAATGGTGTGTGTCACATTCTGGCTCCAATTTCAGTCGACTACAAAGGTTTTGTCATATATGCCATCTTCTTTGGATTTGCATTTGGTTGGTTGAGCTCAGTGCTCTTCGAGACCTTAATGGACCTAGTGGGTACACAGCGCTTTTCCAGTGCCGTGGGGCTGGTAACCATTGTGGAATGTGGCCCTGTGTTGTTAGGGCCCCCCCTTCTGGGTAAGTACATCATGCATCCTGTCCAACCTCCTACGACAACAAGGGTTAGAATCAAATTCAAGTACTGACACCTTTATGTTTTTCCAGGGAAGTTCAAGGATGTGTACCATGATTACAAGTACACATACCAGGGCTGTGGTATAATCCTCATTGTGTCCAGTGTTTTCCTGTTTTTGGGAATGGGACTGAATTATCGACTGTTGGACAAGGAGAAGAAAGAGGAAGAGAGAAAGGCCAGGATGGGAAGTAGGGAATACAAATCCAACAAGGATAATGCAGCCAAGGAAGAGGCCAGGAAGACAGAAGACTCCGTCTAATACTCCGTCTACACCTTGTTAAGTGATATTTGCCAATATGTTCGATAAGAATACACTGTAAGTGCAAATCAGCACAAATAAACACACGTGATCTTCACTGTACTGCATTGGGACCACTATAGTCTTAGATTCAGTAGCAGTACTACATAGACTATTACTGACATTTTTAATTTAAAAAATGACACATTATATCTACATATACATTATACCTCCTTACCTTATTATTATTATTATATCTAAAGTAAACCATTGAATTTATTTTTCAACATTGTGAATTAAATTGGCAGATATATTTTAAAGTGTATTTCCTTAGTGAAAATTCATAATACCACTGAGCACCTTTAAACACTGCCAGAACACAATTTTACTCTTTCTAAGTATGTTTAACATAATTCTCAGTGACTTTATTGGAAACACTTTCCTGGTCTTACTGCTACTATTTTCACATTGCATATTTTTTGAACAACTTTGTTTTATGGTTGTAAACTACTTTATGAAAGTGAATGTATAAAACAAATATCAGAAAAATAAAGTCTTTTGTGTGTTTATTTTACCCAAATATTTTTTTAAAAACTTCAAGGAACAAAACGACAAACCGATTTTATTTATTTTTAACTTTCTTTTATACAAAATATTCAAAAAACAAAAAACGAACAGGTCATTTGTTTCGTCCAAAAAAAAAACCCAAATAAACCACAGATATACATCATAAACATGCATATGCTATGTATTTTTAATGTCTATATTTATTTTAAAAAATTGCAAGATGTTTCGCAAAATATTGTCGTTGCTTCGTAACGGTTGTGAAAAAACAGACGTTCAAAAATAGCCGTTAACTGACGCGATGACGTCACAATCATGACAGTCGTCATTAAACAGATGGGTAAGAGTTCCTTGTTTGTTAAAAATTATACGGCCAAACTAAGGTAAGTGTTTAGTTTATTTATAATAAATGTTTCGTTTGTTCTCATTTTTCGCGTGTTTTAGTGGCAACGCTAAACTAACGTTTCGTCAATTTGTATTCCAAAACGACGTAGGTTAACTGTTATTATGTTAAAATGTAGCAATACTGTACGTTTATATAACTTGTAATTTTTTCCTCAGTTTTCGTCAGTTGGCGTGCGTTTGTGGCTGTAATTATGTAATTATATGTTCATGCAAAATAAATAAAACAGTATTTAAAAAATTGATTTAATTTTTAACTTTTGTTTTCTCTCGAGGGACCCATTGACTGTCACCTCACATTCACCAAAAAATAAAACGTAAATACATATTTTTCTTTGCCGTTGAACTAATTTCAATTAATTATTACTATTGTCTTTTTAAATGCAGTTTTTCTGTATCTATACAATACAATACTGTGTGGTTCCAACAGAATGGAGAGAGATCGTGGTTTCAACTTTAAACTGCTGGTGCCACCCAGAGTGAACCTTGGGCAGGTTTCTGATGTTGGACGTCAGAAGGCTGTTGAGAAAATTGGTGATAATATGAAGACACAGGAGCGGGTAAGGTCAAGTGTCCATAATGTTTGGATTTTATTAATTTTATTTTTTATAATAAACAGAGTGAGAACAAGGAAATAAAACAGAATTGCAAGTGTAAATGGCACTATAAATATAATGCAAATATAATAATGACCTTTGACCTTGGGTGAAATTTAATTCCAATCCGAATTTCAACTTAATTTATCTATTGTGTTTTCATGTATGATACTTAGGGCTTTCATAATAATTGCATTCATTGCATTGATTCATTTGTGAAATTAATCTGATTAACATGGCTTCACCAAAGTTTTGAAAGCAACTCTTGTCATCTTCTGGCACGTCAATTAAGTTGAATTTTGAGGGGGGGGGGGTTGTATGTATTTTCCATATTAATAATTAGATTATCCTGTTACTTCTCTTTCATTAAAATATTTTTTTATTTAGAAATTTTGATTTATCTCAATTAATCATCATGATTATTCTTGATTTATCCGATTAAAATGTTTATCACTTAACAACCATTTTTTTAATATATTGCAACCCTAACTTCACAAGAAGTCAAAGAAAAAAATCTTTCTGAACATAAGCAATATGTTAAAATCCTTTCTCTTGTCTTTGCCGATGTCCTAACACATTATAAATATTAACTTTTTTCAGATGTGAAAGTTTAAAGTACAGATTTTGTTAACTTTTATGTTGCTAAATTGTTTTCTTTATTGTCAGCAAAAAGCTTGAATGAATGGACCGAGTTGCCTCTTAGGGCAGTAATGATTAATGCAAATGATGTCTAAGCATTAGTGTCTGTGTTTCCCCAGGGTTATGGTGTGTGTTTTGACAAAGAGCAAAATAAGCCTTTGTCCAGTGCAAGTGTGGCCTCACTAACAAAACAAACAAGACAAGGTGTTTTCTATAGTTTTATATGAGCGACAATCAGTCATTTCAGCACAAATAACTGTTTGTTATTATAGTGCATGTTATGAATAATTCATTATTATGTCTTTCTAAAGAACTCCCTAAGATGAAAGCTGTACCACCAGTGGAAAAAAATGAGGTAATACTATATTTTTACTGCACACAAATATAAAATATTGTTCAACACTTATCTGAAGTTGCTCAGTTTACTTGTCCTAAATGATAATTCCCTAGCGTAACTACAACCCTGGACAACTTTGTGTCTCACTTTTTGATGAGTTTGAAAAAATTAAGTGTTGGAAAGTCAGGGCAGACTCCGACACGATGCAGATGGAAATGCAACTCCAGGAAAACAAGAAAACCATTGAAACTCAGCGCAAAGCCATTCAAGAATTACAGGTATGTGTCTTTGTTCCAGGTTTCTTTTCTTTCCTCACATATATATATATATACAGTATATATATCTATGTATTCTTAGTGCTGAAGGTATATCATATGTACATGTTGCTGTCGCTTTATTTTTACAGTTTGCAAATGAAAGTCTCAGTATGAAGTTGGATGAACAGATTAGTGAAAATGAGGATTTGAGGAACAGGTACAAAGTGTTCGAAATGTTTTATAAACTAAAAAAATAAATACACCTTTGTCTTTGACGACATATATATTTTTTCTTCCTCTGTAAATCCAGAGACAATGCAACAAGGAACTTGTGTAGTATTCTCAAAGACACCTTTCAGCAGTCGGCTGAAAAGATGCATTTGTGTCAGTGAACTGAACCTTAAAATTATGACATACATATGTGAATGTACTATATATATACTTACATGTTGTATTGATTAATTGTTTTATTCTGCAGTTGAGTCAGAGAGAGAGGAAACTCAGCACCTTTTAATTGAAAACAATGAGCGTATTCAGGTAATACAAATAAAATGTATTTAAACACATTACACACCAAGTCTAAACATTTTTTCATCTGTAGAAACTGGTATCAGCCTTTGAAAGTCTTCAAATTCAAGTGGAAACTGATCAACAAGAAATGCAAAAAGGTATCTGTCTCAAACTGTGGAATGTGTTTTGTTTTGTTGAAGACTTACTAAAGAAAATGTTTGTTGATCACACAGTGAAAGAGAGCCTGCTGCAGTTTGATGAAATAAAAGAAAAAATTTGTGAAGAATATAAAACAAAGGAAGAAGAGGTCTGTCCAAATGATTGTATCATTTAAAGGTAACATGCAACTATGAACACATCTGAATGTTGCTGCTGCATCAACAGGTTGCTGTGCTGCAATCAGAACTGGTGACAAAAGAAAATGAACTCCAGAAAACTGTGTTTGAACTTCAAAAAACACAGGCTCATTCTGAGCTACTTCAACTTGAAACAGGTGCGATCGTGGTTAGGACTGATGTTCGGTTGTTCATGTATAGTGTGTATGTTTTAATTTCATAGATATGTGGTAGTCATACATTGACTTTTTATTATAGTATTATTATAATACAGTACTTGATGATGTTTTACTTGTAGATCAACAACATAAACTTCTAAAACAAAAAGAGAGTGAAAGGGAAACTCTGTTACAAAAGCTTCAAATTGCTGAGCAGCTCCATCAAGAAACTCAGGTGACTGTGTTATAATGAGTGTCTGTTAAGCTGTGCCACCACCTTTCTGCTTCTATTGAGACATGATGTTTTTTTTCTCATAGAAAAAATGTGACGCCAGTGTTGCAGCCCTGGAAATCAATAAAGTTGAATATTCACAGATCCTTCAAAGCAGGGAATTAAGTTTAAAAGAATTGAACAAAAGTAGAAATGAACAAGCAGAAAAGCAGAAGCAGCTTCAGACAAAAATCGAAGAGCTCAAGGGTTCATTGGCTTTGGAGAGGGAAAGGTAATGTCAAGGTATTCATATGTGTTGGTGTTTGTTTTGTTTTTTGAACAAAATGTAATTTTTACTTTTATCATTGTTTATTTTAACTCATTGACTCCAGAGCCACAGGACTTGAAGGTGAAGTCAGCGCAAAAGACAAGGATCTGCAAAGAAAAAACATTCTTTTATGTAAGCCTCACTGTGAGAGATAACTAAATACTTCCATTTGATCTTGGATTATGATGAAGGATTATGACATAAACACATTTTTATTAACAGCTGAGATGCTGGAGCAGAGCACAAAGAAGGACGAACAAATCAGAGTTCTTCAAAATGACCTGGTAAGGCGTATTTATGTTTAAAAATAACAGCACTGACTTAAAAAAACACCTAATATATTTCTTTGTTTTGTTAATATTAGGACACAAAATCAAAATCTATTAAGTCTTTAGAGGGAAGAATCCATGAAACTGAATTTAAAGTGAAGGAACTAAGAGCTGAGCTTTTGAGTAGAACTGAAGAAGTCCAACTTTTTAAGGTGTGATTTTGCAGCAACAACGTCATTGATACTTAAATACATCATTATTTATGATACTTATAAATAAATGAAATAATAAATAATGAAATATTTCCATTAATTTGTTGCAGAATGAAGCAGAACAGGCGTTAGTGGAGAAAGGTCTTTTAAAGAAAGATTGTGAAGCTGCAGCAAAGGCACATGAAGAATTAAAAGAAAGGTTTGCTGATACTGAGGTAATAACGCTATTTCCATCATTCAATTTACTTGGTTCATTTTTTGCCAAATTCATTATCTAATGAAAATTACTCTTAGATCAAAGTGCAAGACCTGGAGGCACAGCTGTTGAGTGAAAGGGAGAAAAATAAAGAACACATGGAGCAGCAGAACAAAGAGATATCAATAGAAAAGTTGGTTCATAATCATATATTTATTTTATAATTATTATTATTTAATTATTATAATTATTTATAGAGAACATTTCTTTTTTTTACACTGATTAGTAATTGTGGTCTTGTTTTCAAAGAGAAAGGTATGGGCAGCTGTTGACCAGCTTCAATGATCTTCAGTCTGAGAAAATAGCCATTCAACAGAAGTATGAGAGTGAAAGAACTGCTTGTAATGACACAGGAGCAAATATAAAGGTCTTCACTCTAATGTGATTTATATATATATACATACATATATAGGTTTATATATGTTATATATATATTTCATGACTATTTTCCTTATCAATAATTCCATCATTTGAATTAGTCACAGTTTTAAATGCATGCATTTGACTGCTTGTTATTTATGTATTTCGAATTATAATTGATCCAAAGCTACACTTTGAATAATATTTTAAGTTTTTATTGTTTGACCGTCATGCATTTTTGTTTTGATTGTTTGTTATTTTGTCAATTTGTTCTTGAATGACAATCAGTTGTTCTTACTGCTCAGGCCACTGAGGAAAGAGCTGAGAATTTAACAAGAGAAAATGAGAAACTTCAAGAAAAGAACCAGATCCTGAGGTAAGTTTACTCTTCAGAGGTTGTCTTTGACTGACACTTTTTATTGTCTTTTTTTTAGCTTTAGTTGTGTTTATTCAAACAGGGAGACTGTGGACTACATCAAAACTAACATTCAGGACAAATGTCAAAAAACTGAAACTCTACAGAAGAAATTTGAAGAAAATGTAAGAATGAAAATGGGACTGACATTCTTGTTGTAAAGAACATTTCATATTTTTATTATGAAAGTCTTGTGAAAATGACTTTGAGATTCTCTTTGTAGTGTGAACATCTGCAGGAGAAAATCACAGCAAAAGAAAAACAATTGACAAACGTGGAAACAAAGGTTAATTTAAAAAATATAAATAACTTTGAAGAAATTTAAAACAGTTGTCGTTGGCACTTCTCTCACTAAGAGTTATTTTAATTTTGCAGCTAAATAACTTGAGGAAAAAAATCGAGGATAAACTTAAAGCTCAGAAGGAATACCAGAAAGAGGTTTGTGATGGATATGTGACTAAAGGTTACAGATATTAACTGATGCAGCTTTTATATTTACATATTCACACTGTTTATATTTACAGAATACAATACTGAAGAAACAATTATCAAAGGAGGGTGTAAAAAGCAGTCACCTTGAAACTGTGGTACAGTGCTCTACATTTTTTGTCCTTGTAATTCTAAAATAAAACATTAAAACCAACAAGTAATGTTTTGGTTTCATGTAGATGTTTTTTTCTTTTATAGGTCAACAGTCTCCAGGATGAGACCCAGAGTATGAAGAGAATGTACGAAGAGAAACATCAGAAACTGCTGAACGAATATGAGAAAAAAGCAAACTTTGCATCAGAACTGGAGAATGAGGTTTTTATGTTATACAATTAAAAATGCATATTATAATTGAGAGTAAAAGGAATAATTAATGTATTTAAGATTGTTGCCTCACAGATGCTAAAGCTGAGAATCACAGCCGCAGATGCCGTCAAGGACAAAGAAGATACAGAGCTCAAGTGTCAGCAAAAGATTTCAGATATGGTCACACTCATGGAGAAACACAAGGTAGGGATACTTTTGAGAAATAGATCTTCGTAGTTATTGGAGCGTTAGAATCAAACACATTTTGCTTCATTTTCTTCCTAATAAAGAGTCAGTGTGACCGTATGGTTGAGGAAAAAGAGGCGGAGCTGGAAGCATTTAGGAAGAGAGAGATGGAGACTGTTGCCCGGATAAACTCAATGGTGTGAGACTCAACAGCTAAAAATGTATGAATTGAATTTTCACAGTGAGATTATGATGATTAACTTTTCTTTTTGCTCTAAACAAGGAACTGGATCTCCTGAAACATCAGCAGCTGAAGAAACAACTGAAGATAGAAAGAACAAAGACAGTATGTCCTGGGTTAAAACTATGGTTGTCCTGTTTTACTTGCTGATAAAATTATGTGGGTAATAGGGTGATGTTCATTATGTAAGTGTTTTATTTTCTTCCCACTAACAGAAGACAGTTTCGTTTCGTGTTGCAAAATATATCAAAAGAAATGAGGATAGAATATCTAATATAAAAGTTATATCATAAGATATATCATAAGAAAAAAGTTAGCATTGTAGCAGCTGGTTTTCACGAAAAGCCATTAGGAAGTCACTATTTTACCCTGGTTTTAAATATGAGTACAAGTATTTCTATAAAGTATCAGTCCTAATACCAATATTTGGTTTTAATGTCAGGACACCCTAGTTAATGTTGTCGAATCATGTTCTTAACTTTTTCAAGAGTCACATATTTGACTGTTTCATCAGGAAAACCTACAGAAACAACTAACAGATTTAAAGAAAGAAATGTCAGCTATGAAGAAGTCTGGAGGAAGAAACAAGCAGGTACAAACCTTATAAAGCCGTGTTTCGAACATGATGGAGTTTCTTAACATGTAACAAATGTATTTAAACTTCAGTCACCAGATCAACAATTCAGAGAGGGAAAACATCCACAGAGTCAAAAAGAGAGCAATTTAAAGAGACACATGTTTGATTTTTCTGCGGCTAGAAAACCTGCCCCCTACAGCAAAGATGGTGGAAGTGTTTCAGATATGAAGAACATGGTAGGTGTCAATTAAACAGTTTTAGACGAGGTAAAAAAATATCTTAAATGTTTAATTATTTTATTATTAAAGACAAGGTATGTTTTTATGTATTTTGACATTTGGAAATCGTGTGATTTTAACTGACTGATCCGGTTCACACAGGACACTGACAGCAACGTTGCCTCGACCCCAAACTTGACCTGCAGTTTTAGAAACTCAAAGATCAAAGTAATATTTCTTTCATATTTATTTTGGAGGTTTTTACCATGACAGATTTCTGACCTTTATTATGTGTTCACTGTTAAAGTCCTACAGAGTAATAACACCACCCTCTGATGCGACAGTAGCTCCATGGCTAAAGACCATCATTGATTTGGACCCCAAGTCTGACAACTCTGAGCTGAATGACTTATTGGTGAGCAGTTTTTTGTTGATTTATTATTTACTATCTGTTTGGCCCATTGAGACTAATACAACCTTTTTTTACTTTCCTATTTTCAAATATTAATAATAACTTGTAGTATCACCACAGCTGAATTACCTCTTACTGTAACTTCTTCTTCACCCATCAAGCTCAAACCTTTAAAAAAGCTAACAGTTATTTAGTAAAAGAAAAAGTTAGGTAATTTAGTAAGTTCAGACATCATAATAAAATATCATAATAAAAATATTTTATTTATTTTAGATACAGAGCCCAGTCCATCACAAATCACCAGGGAACTTCCTGAAATTAGCTGCAATAAAAAGAATGAGAGATGCTGGTTGGACTGCAGTCACTGGCTGTGACAAGAAGAAGAAGAAGAATGAAAAGATCTTTGCATAGATTTGGATTGTTTACAAGTTACACTGATTTATTGAAGTCTGTATGTATGATGACATAGTTGTGTTCTTTTGGGAGTCTTATTCCCACCACCTCAATTAGTTTGTTTATCCAGTAAGTAAACAAATGTGGATTTATTGTAGCTTATAGGCTTAATACCTAACAAATGTTCAGAGAGTTTTATTGTCGTTGCAGTAACTGCACTGTGGGTTTGATATGTTGGCTGTTCACTGTCAAGTAATAGATAGTAGTAAAACAATGTTGAAATCACTTAAGTTTTCATGTTTCCATTTTTTCTGCTATTACGATGGTGAATGTACATTTGAGATATCATGTTTGAAAGAGGAGCGAGAAGAAGGAGAAAATATGTGTGTGATTTTGTATGTGACGTCTCAAACTGTAGTACACTGTCTCTGTTTAGGGAAGGAAGTCCAGACGGAAATGTGGTTGCTCTTCTTGGGCTGTTGGCACGTTGTCATAGATGGGATGGCTGTCATAAAGTCCTCCAGAAATGACCAGTGTGTCGTCATCTGCAACAAAAGCATCTTTGAATTTAATTCATATTTTATCAGTTAGGAAATACGTCGAACGGTTTACACAGAGGTCCTAGTGAACAATGAGCTCTTCTTACCTGTAATGACAGAGTCATTTAAAGGCTGATGAAAGTACTGGACTCTGTGTTTGTATCTGTGTAACATGATTACGACCAAAGTCACTAAAAAGGCTCCCAGTCCAACAGTGAAGACAACGGTCATATTCCTTTCTGAGTCACTGAGACCAGAACCTGATGACACAATAAAAAAAGCATGAGTCAGGAGTAAAATAGAAATGTAACTCATGTAAATGGACAGGGAGGCCTCACTCTTACCATGTGTGATCCTGTCCTTGGAGTCTGAAGTTGTGTTAACAGTGTGAGATGAATTTGCAGTAGATATTACAGCAGTACTTGTGACAATACTTGTGTAACCTGCTGTGGTCTGACTTGTGGTCGTCAGGACAGTAGATGGCTGTGTTTGTGTGCCAGGTGTAGTCAGTGAAGTACTGTGTTTCTGTTGAGTCATAATGGCTGTTGACTGAGACGTCTGGAGGTGAACTGTCGTTTCCTCAGATGTTAGACTCACACTGGTGATGGCGCTGGTGTAAGTAGTCCCACTTTCATTCCCGCTGGAAACAGTTGTGTTGAATAATATAACGTTTCCTGTTGTTTGTGTTGACTTTAAAGCAGGTGTCATTGCTGGCGTTGTTACGTTTTGAGTTTGTGCCATAGATAAAGACACAGCCATGATGCAGTGAATGAGGAAAAATATGATTTCCATGTCGCAGAGCCTAAACAGGAACATAATAAGTAAGTCAGTACTTAGTAAGATAATTCTTGAGAGAATGTTTTAAATACAGGACATAGCAGCAGTAAATTACTACATAGTAAATCTGACCGCACGCACTAAAAAAATTACACAATAATCGGTACACTCTTCACACTTCCCAGGCTTTAACTCCATCCATGATATGTGACCATTACATAATAAATTGCTCTTGAAATAACTTACACATCCTACCTGGAGTTTGTTGGTACAAATGTCAACTAATTTGGTTCACTTTCTTCAGCAGCCGTGATTATCACCTCCATGTCCTTGCTCTCCACTTTGTGTGAGTTCAGAGAGGCTGGCAGAAAGGCTGGTTAAAGTTGGCAGGTCATTGCTTTGTAAACTTCCTCTATTGTGTGGTTGCCACGGAGATGAAAGACAAGATCATGACTGGGTGCAAAGCTCACCTGCTCTCCCGCTCTAAACCTGCCTCACCCTCTTTGTCACACTATGTATGTTTTTATAGCCCGGGCTTTGTTAAGCTCTGGAGCTCATTAACTACACTGTAAGATTGTGTGGTTTTCTTTGTGTCTGCTTTTGTCACCTTTAGTTCTTGCCTCTTTTATACATGTTATTTTTACAGTTATTGCCTCCTTTATACATGTTATATTATTGTTGTGTTATTATTAAAATGATTCAATGTACCTAGAGATGATAAAAACCATGGCGCCACAATCCAACAAATATGAAATTAAGAGTAAATACAGCAAAAACAATACAGAGCTGAACTTTGTTAAAGTATTTATTATAAGTTTTAACTCATTTATATAGGCAAAAAAAGGTCAGGTGCACAGGCAACATAAATATTCCAGTGTTTTAGGGTGAAGTAAAGAAGATAAAGCTGTCAGCTGTTATCAGGGGGAACAACACAAGGGCAAGTAATGTATATCACTTTGTACAGGAAGACGCAGCAGAACATGTAAGGTTAAAAGGCTGTGGCAGTAAGCCTGTGTTTTTAGTAATTCAAAATTATTTCATAATCCAAGAATTATCTTGTACATTTGATTGTTTGTGTTCCAATACGTTTGTATTCATGTGTCACACCAGCGAATATATATATATATACACAGAAAATACCTTGCATTAAAAGCGTGTATTTATAGTTTGGTGACTTTTTCAACACCTTTGCTTTGCTCATCAAAGTCTAAGGAGGATTGAATGTGCAACACCGTTGTGTCCTTTTCTGGGGCTTCTGATGCCTGCAGAGAATTAAAAGAACAAAATAAGAAAGGCATAATAAACCGTATGTATTAAATACACCACTTATATAATAAATGTTAGTGCTCCACGATAATATCGTAATACGCTAGTTCTTTAAATGTCCTTTAAAGGTATTTCGAGCAGACACAATTAGAGGCAGCAACGATTCAACACAGCATTTAAAGTGCTCAACAGACCCGCGCTACTGACGTCATATTCAAGCGTCGCAGTAGAGTTATTAGCATTTTAGGTAAGCGCTAATTGGTATTAACAGTACATTTTTTATACCGCATCAGAGGATAATAACAGCGTTTCAATTTCAATTACGTGCTTTATTAAAACTTTTAGATAAAAAGTGATTACCTATAAGCTACACCAAGTGAGTATGTAGCAGACATAGCCGTAACGGTGTTTAGGACTGAGGCTAAAATAAGAAAGTTCAAGAAGTTCGCCGAGAGACAGCGAAAAGGCCAATGCAATAGGCATAATGCAATATGTTTTATATCAAGGTAAATAGATTTATTTACTTAATAACAACCTTGTTGTCCTGGCTATGCTTTATGTGTACTTTTGTTTTACCTTGGATTTACTGAACCAGTGGTAGCAGCAAAAGTCCGTCTTCTTTACAAATAGATCAGGGTTCAATTTCTCTTGTTTGCATCCACCTGCAGACATGTTTGTGTTCTCATACAATCAAAGATTTACAGTATGTAACTGCACTGTAGTAAATGTAAAGGTTCTAGTATATGTCTTCTTACCTGTGATCATGCTCACCAGAAGACCGACCACTATGGTGATCAGTGCACCGAAAGGAGCTAAGTAGAGATAGGACAGAGAATACCAGGAGTCTGCCAGTGCTGGTCTCACACTATTGGACAGAATAAAACAAAAACTGTCTGAAGTATCACCTTTACCTCAAGCAGGACATCAGTACATACAGAACAGTTTTAATGGCAGACAAGTCACTCTAGCTCTGGAAAAAATGATGACTGGTTGTAAACATATAAATTTCAAGCCACTTGTGACACTTGCAGAAACTCAGCCATTACTGTTATCAGTAACAGTTGTGTACAAAATGTCTTTCTTTTAAAGTAATTCAATATCTGACTGCAGCAGGTGGTACTTGTTTGTAGTGATAACAGAACAGTGAATCATGTAGTCAATACCTGCAGTATGATTCTGGGCTGGGATATTAATAGATGTCCTTGAATGATTAGAGTGTAGAAGGCCTACAAGTCTTTCACTCTACAATGCTAAATTTAAACAAAACATTATTAAAAGAGTAGAAAAAACATTGGCTTCAGTGTTTGTGCATTTCAATATTGACAAAAAATGCACTGTGTGATCGCTGCACAGATGGAAACAAAAAAGAAAACTTTATGAAGGACTTACAATAAAGACTGTTGGCTTGATATCTTTAAGAACGTTTAACGTGTACGTTTTTACATTTGTATTTTATGTGATTAAAAGTACTATTTTGATTAAGTGGTGATGAGTCAGCAAAATAGCTAAATTTAGCCAGAAAGTTTCAAAAATGTCTGAGATACATCATCAGTAACCTAAAAGTCAGCTAACAGACAAATCAGAATTAAAGACTGCGTAACTTAATGTAAGCTAGAAAATTGCCAAAACACAACATACTTCATACACAAGATGATGCTAAGAGTTAGACAGAAACTTAAAAGAAAAGAAAAAAGATGATGACTAATGTTTTAAAATCATTAAATGTGTTGGATGAATCCTAACGTTTAGGTGAAAGAGATAATTATGTTTGGATAACCCTTCAAGTAAAGAAACCATCTCTTCAGCTACAAACATACTCAGTATATGAGGTTCATGGAGGTTGAGATAGTGACAATAGGATGGAAGCAGAACAGGGAACTTGTGCAGTCATGATTCTCAGAGTGAACCGTCTATCACTGCAGACCATATACAATATGCAGTAATGTGGGACAGCTGCACCCCCACACACATGCACAGTACACAGTAGTATGCGACATGAGAAATGTTGTAACGTAGGCAAATTCATTTTCACATCATTAAACATCAGAAACGTTGTCCCTATTATAATAAATGTAAGTGAAACCTATCCTGTGTTTGTGTGTATTTTTATTAACTCTGTTTAATTAGACTTTTCTTACTCAGGCAGTGTGGTCGTAGGAAGTGGACTCGTCCAGGGAGCTGTTGTTGAAAAGTTCATGTTACATCCCACAACTGTGACAGGAAGTGGTCTGGTCTTGTCAGGAGTCGGAGGGTAAAGCTGGCCTCCAATCCCAACCCACAGAGTCAACACTAGACCCACAATCATTCCCAGCAGTCCTCCCTGAAAAGTTATTATGGCCATTTTGAAAAATAATCATCAATGTGACTTTTATTGCTCTGTAAGACTTTGTCGCCTTTTGTGAAATATACCAGTGAAAACCCACCACTGAATTTGGTGTGCGGAAAAGCATTCCCAATAAGTATAGACCCAGCAGAGGTCCACTGATCATACCAAATATAGACAGAGCTGCCTTAAGGGGAAAAGTAAATAAATGTTAGGAGTCAGAATAGATGCAGTACCGATATGTATCAGCTGGGGGTGCTGTTGTAAGCGGCCAAAGCTGAGAAAAAACAGATTTACCTGCAGAACACTTCCCATCACAGAGGCAACTCCTGCCATCCCAATACACACACCACCGTAGAAGACACCTGCAAATGTTGGTTTTGATGAGAGTTAACGCTAAACAATTCCAACTAGATAACATAACTAACATAAATCCAGTAATGGGATGGCTAATGACTAGCACTAGCACATTGTCTTTTTTAAAGGTTTCTAGGTTTTTTTTAAGCAACTTACTCAGACCCATGTTCATCCAGGTCACCTGTTTGTTTGTGAGGTTTTTGCAAAAAGGAAGAATGAAGTCTTCTGTAGTGACAGCAACCAGAGCATTGATGCTGGAAGACACGGTGCTAAAAGACACAAAAAATTAAAAAACATTACAAATATGGGCTACTAGGAAAAAATATTGTATTATAATAATGTTGTAATGATCAATGTGAGGGGTGTTTCACTCTTCAAATTATAAACACTTCATGTCAAGAATATTGTCCAAACATTTGTAGAATAATATGTCTTTGTAGATGTCTGCTGACGTTCTACAGTGCAAGTGTAGTAGCTGCAGTTTAAAGTGACTCCTATTAAACATTAACATTTCCCTTAGTCCTAATCTACAAAGAACTTTTAGCCAGAGCTATCTCTGACGCAGCCCTGTAAAAATCTTTTATCATCCAACCCATGGCAACAACAGTAATGTGACTGTTTTCAGAGAGGATATCGTAACAGGTTGTGTTTACACATTGATTTAATAAATGCTGTGCATTGTTTAATGATTGACCCCAGTCCTCCTGACTCCAGTCTAAAATATTGATTTGTTTGTTCTTAGGGCCTCACCTCAAAGTTCCACTGTATGCAGCAGCCACAAACAAGCCTGGGATTCCAGGGTAAACTGCCAGAATATCCATCACTAGGTAGGGCAGCAGCTGGTCCACACACACAACAAATTATCACCATCTTATGGGTTTAATGTTTACTTAAAATATATTTTTTATACATTTTTTGAAGGAATGGTATTGTATTTTTCAATTTAACTCAATCAGTTTGATGACAGTGGCCTCTGCAGTTACCTGGTCAGATGTGTTCACATCACCGTTTGAAAGTGGGTCACAGTTCTTGTAGACAGAGTACATTGTGAGGCCCGACATCACAGCCAGACTCACCGTCACACACAGGCCAAGCATGTTCACGTACAAGGATCTGGGGGGGAAATGGTCAGCGTCTGATGGTGTGAGTCGCTTATGAATGTACTGCTGCGGAGCTACTCACGTCTTAGCATGACCCAGTGTTTTGCAGGAGATGTATCGTTGAACCTGGGATTGATTAATGGCGTAGATAGACGTCCACATTATACTGCCCCCCACCACAATGGTCCAGAATGTATGTCGCCTTAGAGGATCTGGGTCGAAACTGAGAAAGGATCAACAACACAAAGGCTGCTGGTTGTCATGCTCTACAGAGTCAGGTAACCAGAGGAAACTAATCTAAGGAAGAAAAGGGTATGCTCAGTTTGAATTCTTGCTGCCCCCTCGCCCCCAACACTCTCCCCAAAACAAACATTGTCTGTGTGCTTACTCAAAAGCTTCCAGGCGACCTGCCCGACCAGCATCATTCCAAATATTTGTCAGGCCTCCCTGTAGAACAGCTCCCCTCGCTATGACAGCCACAAAACCTGAGAGCATGATTACCATCTGAAACACATCGGTCCAGATAACTGCCTTCAGACCGCCCTGAAAACAAAACCATCCAGAGAATTACTCTGCATGCTGATTTAAATTTATAGCAATGAAAACATGTCCATGTCTGTACATCATCGTAGTCAGAAGTTCCCATAGTGGGGCAGGTTCGCCCTAGGGGCTGTTTCAACATGGTCACAGTAAGACCAATTACTGCCTATTTCAATATTTTCTTTATTTGTGCCACAGTTGGATATCGTACTAATTTGTAATGTTTGGTAGAGATGTTCAGAAGAGATTTAATGAAACAGCTGTGAATTTGTCCAGGTGGAGGTGGGGGGGCTCAACAATAATGCTGTTTGGAAAAAGGGGGCAATGCAGAGAAGAAACAGTGGGCAAAGTATAGAGTGGATCTATAGTACTGTGTAAGGAATACTTATTATTGTCCATGTACATAAGTCGATGTACATTTCCTGTATATTTGTCAGTACTGATACACAAACGCCACTCTGCTCTTATTTCCCTATTTCCCAGCGCTAACATGAACGCAGTGCCAGTTACTGACCATTTTGACGGGAATAAAAGTCACATTGTTATTTTATTTGTATTATTGTTAACTACCTCTGCACAATCGAAACCGCCTAATGAAGTGTGGAGTACTAACCAGAGTGCAGTAGATGATGCACACGACTCCTGTGGCCACCAGCACACCCCATAGATCCAGACCAGTGACTGAGAGGGGAAGAAATGAACTGAATAAACCCCATTATTATAACATTCATAGTTTAGTATAATTTGAGATTATTTCACAAAATATTTCACCGTACAAAAAAAGTGCAACAAATGTATAATGTAACTGTACTTTTACTATTTATAATTATTTATTACTGTTTATTATTTATGTATTTTGTAGGTTTACTTTGATTTACTGACTCAAATTGTAAGCAGCTTTGGACAAAAGTTTCTGCTAAATGTATTGTAATGTAATGTCATTTAATTGTAATAGTTGTTGTGTCTTACTTTGATTCAAAGCCAGAGCTGGAGCGTAGATGACCAGACCAGTGTACAGGGCCTGATGGGAGATTAAGACCATTAGCTGATTAGTGAGAAACACAACAGGTGTGTGATTTCTATTCATTGGTTCCTGGAAAAAGGATCAAATTGTGGGGCTTTACATGAAGTCAAAAAACATCCGCTGTTTATAATTCTAATCATTTGTTCTCTACTGATTGTTTCAGTTACCGTCTGTGAGATGTACATGGACGTTCCGATTATCCGGATGGGCTGACTGAAGCGCAACTCCAGGTACTGGAAAAACAAAAGGGTGCAAACTAAATGGTATAAGAATTAACAAAGTATATATACATTTTTGATCCGCTTTGTAGATCCTCGAAAAAATAAACCCTTTTTTAAATCAAAGTAAATGTTGGATTTTTACCTAAGAAACTAGAGCCATCGGAATGAACCCATGAATCACAATCACAACAAATGGATTTGTAAAATCCATAAGAACAGTACGTGTCAGATTACATTTTCAACTCACAGACAGAACAACATGAAGTCATGACCATACCCAACGGAGATCTTCAAAATGACTGTACATTCACTGTATTCACACACATTGTGTTTGAAAGGTGTACAGTATTTGAGCAGCCTTTCAAACTCAGGTGCCTTCCTGATTAACATCTATGGTAAAGGACCAATAAAAACATCTTTATCTCCATGACCTCTCACCTCATAGGTGCTGGTGATGCCCAGTCGGTAGAAAAGTGGGACAAAAATCTCCGCCGTGATCACAGACATGATGGCGTAGGAGAAGCCGAAGATCCAGAAGGCAGCTCCGTACAGGTAAGCCTCCGCTGGTGTGCCAATGACTGTGATGCCAGACATGAAGCTGGCAGTCAGTGACATGGCAACAGGCACAGCCGTCATCTGCCTACCACCCAACAAGAACTCCTGGCTGCTGGTCTCCTTACGACTTCGAATGGCTTGGAAGAGCCCCACTCCTGCTGAGACCAAAATGGTCAAAGCGAACACCACATAATCCCACACAGAGAAAGTGGCCACTGGACCACCGGTACCGACCATGGTTCCTTCAGTAGGTGTCAGCTTTCTGCCTGGCTTTTCCCTTGACTTGTTGTAAAGGTTTTCAATGAGCAGGAATCCTTTATTGGTTAATCAAGCTAATGTTCAATGTCCTTCACTAAGAAGTGTCCTGAAGTTCTTCCTGAGTCCACTTGTACATATCCCAAACACCAAACTCAAAGCAGAAATCCCAGCCTCTAGTCCTTCACTTGTGTCCGAGTTTCTCTTCAGGGAAGATCAGAAAAACTCTGAGATTTCATTGCTTTATAGCCGTCTGTCATTTCCTTGTTCTCTTTGTGATATGATATGATGCTGCAGGAGCTATGGCTCTGATCTACTTACTAAGCACCCAGCAGTCAATAAAGGTTTCTTCACCTTGGTTAATAATCCATCAAGGAGAGACTGCCTTGAAGACACCCATGCTCTGATAGGAAAACCAGAGGTTTAGTGTCGTCAGGTTGTCCTTCTCTCAATGAAGTGACATCCATAAAGCGTTGTTATAGATGAGTGGGTTACTCATTAGGTGAATGATTGTGTGAAAAGGTGGAAGAAACGTACATAAACAGTAGATTGGAGGTCAAATGTAGAAGCAGAGTCGGAGAACTCATGTAGTGAACACAAGTGGCTGTGGCTCAGTTGTCTTGGAGGGTGGTGGCATTGGTTCCAGAGCCAGGTAGATGATAAACCCCTGTAGTGTAAAGTGATTCTTTGAAGGATGCAGATTCAGAGTCAATGAGAAATGGCTTTCGCTGTTAATGTTTGCAAAGGTTAGCAAGAGGACGCTGAATGTCTCCTGCGATCCTCATATCTTCCGTTTACTGTAATAATTTTGTTTTTCCTCGTCACTGATACACCAGGCAGTGAGACTCACTGCCAGTTCGGTGCACGGTAAAAGAAATGAAATAAAACCAAACATAATCATAAATATATAATTACTTCTCAGGAAAGATAAGGATGAGCCGTCCCTTGTTTATTAAAAGGAACAACAGGCCACATGTTCTGGCCATAAAAACACAAGTAGCTAAATGACCCTTAAGATAAAACCGTGTCAACAATGTTGTCGTCTCTACTTATGGTAAACAAATCAAAGGGAGTTTTAATGGAAAGTCGGCATGTCATCGCTTTTAATGTCAGATGCACAGCTGTGCCTTTTTAATCGTGAAATCCTTTTGTTCAGCACTAGTTTTCCCTGTACTCGTCCTGATGTCCACACCAGGCCTAATGTTTACACCAGGAGCATTTTGTGTGAGAAAAAGTGAATTTGTGTCCAAATTAGAGATAAAATGTTATTTACTTTGAGAAGGTAGATAATACGCAGGTTAAAGTGTGACTGCTTATTCAGAATCTGTTTTCAGCCGATGCAGAATCTATGAGGTTTTTTTTTCCTTGAGTAGATGAACTTTGTCCTGGAAAGAAATCATTAATTCATGTCATTTACTTAATGGGCCTAAGGTCCAGCTCTTCCTTTTCGTCACTGATCGATGATAACAACGAGCTTGAATAAATAGAAAAAGCTAAGAAAAAATGAGGGATTTTGGTGTATATTTTCTGTATAAATACATTTCTGCTGCAATGTTCAGACCCAGGGCATCATCGTCTGGCGTGGTGACCACGACTCTCCTCCACACATTCATCCAGGTTCTCCTCGTCTCTGTTCTTTTTATCCAGGTAGATTGACGCGACGCTCCTCAGCATGGAGACATCTGTGTTCAACTCCTGGCTCCTCTTCCTGCTCTTCAGCCCAGCAGTGCCCATGTGTTTACCCACAGACTTCACTATGTATGTGGAGAAACCAGAGTGTGACTACTGTGTTGCTGTGAACACGACAATCTGTGAAGGATTTTGCTACTCGCGGGTATGTACAATTAAAATATTAGACATGACTGACATTCACAATCCAGGTCAGGCGACCCTCAGGGATCATACACGAGCCCCACAACTTTCTATTTTTGACTGCACATTCACACATCACACAGCGTAGTTAGTGGTGATTTTTTTTTATTCTATATAAATCAGGACAGAAACAGTTACAAACCTAAAAAGGAATTTTACTGCAGAAAATAAATAAATAAATGTCCTGGTAATGTGTGTCCATTTACTGCAACTTCACTCTTTGATTTAAATATAAATGGGCTCAATCTCAAGACCTACCTTTTTGTAAAACCCATTTTCTGTACATTAAGCAATTGCGTTTGTTCAAAGTCTGACAGAATAATGGCTTTGAAACAAATACAGCACTGAGCCCAAAGGCAGAAGAACATTGAGTCCGAAAAATTGTACAAATTCAAACATGCATGCACTTCAACTTAATGTTTTTTCTTCAGTTTAAATCAAGCCTGAGTTCCAGATTCCTAGATACTAGTTCAGACTAATTGTGTCATTATTTTGTGAAGCTGATATTGTAACTTTTCTAGTTTTCTGTATTTCCTTTTATATCTTATATCTAGATACAGGGGAAAAAACCTACATTGTTCATGCATTTATTCTCAGTGGGTCAGAATATTGTAGTGGTGTCTTTACTGGTCTGAGGAATAAAGTCAGTTCAGAGTTCAATGTTCTGACCAACAGCAGGAAAATTGACTGTGTTACATTTTTCCAGACCTTGGATCACTGCATTGGCTTCCTGTGTGTGAAAGGATCTAGTTGGAAATCCTGGTACGGGTCAACAAGATACTGAATGGTCTGGGGTCCAAATACTTGTCAGAGCAGCTCATGAGACAGGAAGCATCGAGACCCCTCAGGTCACCAGGGACAGGTTTCCTCTGTGTTCCCAGGGTCAGAACCAAGGAGGGAGAAGCTGCTTTTAGCTTCTGACTTTCTGCTATACATTAAATCAGGACTTAAAACACCGTTCTTTACTGCAGTTTTCCAGCTTAAATAGTACTAGTTGGTGCTAATTTAAGTCACTTCAGCTTTGTTAGTTGATTTTAAATTGCATATAAAAACTAATTTTGCCTGATGTACAAATGGTGTGATGTGACTTCCCTAAATATTAATATTACTTATTTGCTAAAGGACAATTAATTACAATGTTTGTGTGTGTGTGTGTGAACAGGATAGCAACAAGAGGTTCCTGCGTATGCCTTTTCAGACGCGCTGCACCTACGACCAGGTGGAGTACCGCTCCACCGTCCTGCCTGGCTGCCCCATCAACACCAACGCCATCTTCACCTATCCCGTGGCTCTTAGCTGCCGCTGCGGCTCCTGCACAACTGAGAGCATTGACTGCACTCACAGAAGCAGCGGTCGCAGACAGAGGTGCACCAAACCAGTCAGACACATCTACTCGTACCCTGATCCAGCAAGCCCTTACTGACCGCTCAGCTTTTATGATTCTGTAATGGTTACTACACAGCTGTAATGACGTAACCCTGAAAACAAGCGGTGTCATAATTATAAAGCTGTCCCCTCTTCCTCCATCTGCACTGTTGCCTATGTTATCAGCATGTTTTATTATTGCCCAGTACGCTTTTCTAAGATTACAATGGAGTGTCATCCTAGTATGGATTTCACGTTGAAACTATGTTTGGCGTGTATGTTTACCACACAAACACACTGAGGCTGCTGATGTCCTTCAGTCATGAGATTGTTTCCACGACACAGCATTTAAACAGATAACTTCTGTCAATGTTGAACCTAAAGCTTTTTCCATCCCGATCTGTCCACCTTTCCCCAAAAATAAACTTTTAACACATGAATAACTTAACTAATGACTGTAGGAACTACTGACAAATTTGTTCATCTTAATTCAACTTTGTGTGTAGTCATCTACGGGCAGGGGGTTTTGGAATGACAGCTGGACTGTAAAAATAGCTGAGCAGTTCAAGATGGAAGAATGTACAGTACAACAAGTCTGTCATGTCATGTGTCTATTCACGTGTGTGACGTAGGATCACATGCTGCGTCGTTCTTCATTAATCTTTTATTATTTATTTCAGTTCATCTCATTTCCAAAAAGCAGGATCTGAATCAAAACAGACAAACTTGTTTATAGGATAACTTTAATTAAATGAAATCCATTGTTCATGTACAGAGAACTGAGTTTACATGTCAATAAAATGAATAGAAGTACAGTACATTACACAAAAAAGACACAGTTACTCTGAAGGAAATATACTACTGCTACTAATAACATTAGTAGTAGTATCTGTACACATAAATAAAAGCTTTAAAAAACATGAAAGACAGAGGTATTCAAGTACATAATGTGACCTGATATTTAGGACTTCGGCATCCACTAAGACCGAGGCTGCGCCCCCTTTTGTTATCAAAATAAGGCCATTCAGTGCAGTGAAGTACGGACCTGTACATTGGACCTGTACAAACAACCGCTACACAGGTGCATGGCCCAACACTGGAGGGCCAACTCCTCCAGTGTTAGATTAAGATGAGTCCTAGGACAGGACTCATCTGTTCACATACACCTCAAGGATAAAACACACTCCTTCGAGGAAGACAATGTGCACATTTTGGCCAGGGAAGACAGATGGTTTGAGAGAGGGGTAAAAGAAGCCATTTTTGTCAACCTGGAAAAACCATCACTCAACAGAGGAGGTGGACTCAGACACAACCTACCCACATATAAGGCTCTCTTAGGAACAATACCTAAAAGATTTGCCTCAGTTTTATGCAACAAAGAGTTGACCAAAACCATTTGACCAAGTGACCGAAACCATTTTGATGAGGAGTGCAACGACCCATCAGACTAGGGAGCTGAAGTAGCTTTATTCTTTGTCACACCCAGAGTATATATTTGCTGTATCTCCTAACACCAGTTAGAACTGAAGAAACTTCTTGGATGACAGGTGAAATGTCTTCTTTGAGAAAATTTCACGCCCAGTTGCTTAACAGAACTCTTTAACCTTGACCATGACCTGGATGACTAAGAATCTTCATAGACATGTTTACATGAATCCCCTTTCTCCCCTGCAGGAGGTGCGTGCATACAGCTGTACAATCCTGCTCCACTAATCGCTCTGCTGGCAAATAGCCACCAAAATGTTCACAGCATATTTCAAGGCCTGCCGTATTTGATCAAGCTAACTAAGCACTAAATAAAGAGCATTATACAGCAGAATGTAGTCAAACCAGAAGCCACTGTTTGTATACATTACAAAGTTTACGTCCACCCTGTTTCCATGGAGCGGGTTAGGAAAATAAAACTGTACTTCCTTCAGCCTCCGGTTGTTACAAAACTTCTGTGCCCTAAAGACTACTCCCGGCATGGAATGTATGTCTTTAAATCAATTATATAACCACAGCCAGTGACGACAAAGCACACCCTTGTCTTTAGCATCCACCTTGTAATTTTCCAACTAATTCTTGATTCTATGTGTACTTTTCTAGATTTTTCTGACCAAGCCCAACATCAGTAACAAAAGCAATTAAACCAATGCATCACCATATTTCCTAAAGTGTTCGGCATCTTGCAAAAACACAAAAAACCAACCCAGGAGTATGGAAATAAAAATACTTTTCTTTTAATAACAGTGACTACTAAGAGAAGACTAATACAATTTTACAACACCCATGTTCGGAACAAACCCACACCTATATGCCAAATATTTATATTTATGGTAAGTCAAAGTGTATCCAGTGATAAGTAAACTACTGAGAAGAATGTAATGATGTCTTAGTCATATTCACTTCCTCAAACCAGTACCTTAAAGACTTAAGCATGTCACACAAACACTGTAAAGGAAGCTAATATACTGAAGGACATTTTAAAGTGACAGAAGTTTATGCTTAGCAAATGTTTTACAGTTGTGTTTTTATGTAACCACACCCTGTCATTTTGCAAATCATATTCTACAATACTTAATTTTATACATGTCAGGGAGATGTAAATCATAATTTTAAATAAGGAGAGGCTTAGGCAGAGCTAGGCATGAAGAAAGGCTGAAGCTAGCATTAAAATATAATACAATTAAAATTAGTGGTCATTTAGTCACTAAAGATATGAACAAAATTAAGCAAAAAAAAAAAAACCAGGTTGCTTTAGATCAGGCTAAGAAAGGCCATACAGACACACAGTAAAAAATGTTTTTCTTTTGTTTATCTTGACATGAGAACTAAGTCATAGAAGGGGTAAAAGATTGGCACCTATAGTCTGCAGGCTGTACTTCAATCATCACTTTTGGCTCGAAAATGGATTTGACAGCTTGCGTGTACCTGCTTGTTTTCCAGTCTGTTTTATGTAACTACAACAATGCAGTATTTCTACTGTACTGCAGCCAAGCAGTTGATGGTTTTTTTTCACTGGGCATAGTGGGACATTTTGGTGTTTTTGTTATAAAACGTGAAATAATATATCTAGTCAACTCTTCAAATATGAACAGGATAAATGCTCATACGTTTTCTGTTGTATTTCATTATATAATTTTGTAAACCGGGGCCATGGTCTCGTACAATATGTTAAATTTAAAATGCAAGTCTTGTACTTCTTAGTAATTGCGATTAAATATATATAATTGTTATATTTTGCTATCTCTCAAAATTCTTTGCTATCCTCTAGCAATTACATACATATTTTTCTTATGCTACCACTGAACTGAATGCTACCACAGAACTGAAGAAGCCTCTTGAATGAGAGGTGAAACTTTGTTGCTACCTATGCTTCACAATTGCAATATAATACATTTTAATGAAAATCAATAAGTAACATTTCAATAGATGGCTTGGACTATAACACTGGTGATAGTTGAATTCATTTGCTGTCCGTTTACAAGCTGACACTCCTGTTGCGCCTCTATGCCAGTGGAGCGAAGCATTGATCTGGGGGGCGGGGAGACAACAGAAACGTCTAGAAAACGTTTCAACGAATGATGTCATTCTGCTGTTAGACCTATGAAGAACGAATGAAATACTGGAGAAATATTCGCAGATTCGTTCAATGATGTAAACTCCAAATGTCACTTTAATAATTATCGCCTTCAAACCTCTCAAAGAATACAATTTTAAAATGACATTTTTAAACAGTCATTCAATGACTGAAAAAGTGCACGGACCACAATGGCGTGTGTCGAATTACATACAGTATGTGCCCCACCTCGCACTTTTCTGATTGGATAAATAGTTTGACTGACATTTATATTATTGAATCAAATACTGGGTGTGAAAGAGCAGCCAATCAGCTGCATAGCCCCATCGGTTAGAACATGATTGGTTAAATGTGCCGGCATTGTCAGATTGTGTGACCGTCCCCTCCCCCTTTAGCTTCATCTTAGTGGAAAATTCCCACTACTGCGACTCTGAAGCTGCACTAACACGCATTCCTACATAGGCAGAGTGGGACTCAGTGATCTTACAGACACAAAAAAAAGCAAAGAAAAACTTTCTGGTGAGTAAAAGACGTTAGTTTTGTCTAAAAATACCCCATCGTCGTCAGGTGTCAATTTCACGGGCTGTTTCATGCCTTTTGGCAGCGGCTTTATGGTGAATGCGTTTTTTCACCCTCGCCGTTATCAACCGTTATACTCTTTTCTCTCTTTTAAATTAACGGATTTGTAATTGTTGTTGTTCTTTTAAATTGTTAAATAGAACAATTTACGTTTGCACTCTCGTAGATGTGTTTCTGTAGCGGTTTTGACCATGTTAAATATTGCATCAGCCAGAAAGGTTAACACAATAAAAATATTGAAAATATTTGACTTGAATAATAAAATGAAAAACGTGCAAAACACAGTTATAACTGTTATAACTCTAAATAATTGTGTTTTGACGAGGGGCGACCTGTATTTGTTTATTTACAATTTGACCTCGCTGCAATGTATGTAAGTATTGGGTTAAATAATAAGATGTCTTTTCTTACTAATATTATGTTTGATGGCTTTTTGTTTGTAATTGTGGTTGTTTTACGACTTTCACGAATCTTTTGGCGAAATTCGAACTGAGATAAAAAATGTGTGAAAGGGGGTCTCGCCCATATTTGGCGTTCCGGTATGTCGCGAAGCCACGCCTACTGGATGTGCGGCTCATGTTACAGGCAACAGGGCTGGGCTGCTGAGATAAGCCAAAGCCGGTCCAAAGTGGGCGGGGCCTAAATATCTACATATACTCTGTGTACTCCGCAATCCACTGGTTTATTATAGTAACTGACGCCTACTCCTATCACCTCTTTAGAACTTCGCACATCCGTTTCACTGAGGATCACCGAACATCTCTTCATTTGTCCACCTGTACTATATCTCAAGTCATGTCTCAGAATCCGATCAGGTACGTTTCTATTGTATCCCATTTTGTCTAAAATTAGTTTTTCATATAATGACATAATTGTTGTATGTGGTCATTTTGTAACATTTATTCTTTAATTTTTCCAGGAATTTGGGATAACATTATGATGTAGTTTTGATGGTACATGTAATGTCTTTATTAACACATTGCTGTTTTGTTTTATTTCAGTCTCCCAGCCAAGCTCATTAATGGAGGTATTGCTGGCATTGTTGGGGTCACCTGTGTTTTCCCCATTGACTTGGCAAAGACCAGGTTACAGAATCAGAGAAAAGGTCAGCAGGTCTACAGGAGCATGTAAGTATTTATAGGTATTTATTTTCTTAGATTCACTGTCACACTACCACTTATTTTGTCATGATGTCGTCTTTGTGCTGGTGTAATCCATTGTGACTCATTCTAATCCTACATCAAACACTTGGACAGGCAGGATGAATGTGTGTCATGTGATCAAATTCCTTACTCAGATAGAGGTGACTGTTGGTCACTCTCGTTCCTGTCCAGTGACTTAGCTTCTATCTGTTTGCCTTTGGAGAGTGGAAAATTACAGGTTAATTTATTTAAATCAGGATTACTTTCTAAATGTTAGACTAAAACAATGTATTTCATATTGATACCATTGATTTTTTTTGTTTGATAGGATGGACTGCCTTATCAAAACAGTTCGATCTGAAGGTTACTTTGGCATGTATAGAGGTAAGAATTATGAATGTCTGAATTTTTAGAACCAATAGACCTGAACACGTAGAAGATTATCGAATATAGTTAAGGGTAAGATGTCACTGTGGTGAGATGGGGCATTGATAGAACAAATAATATTTTTTAGCTTGGTGTAGAAGTGTGAGTTTTATGGGTTGCTAAGTTATATCATTTGTTTTGGGATAACAAGTTTCAATCACAGATTTTATAAAAGAAGTGGACCTCACTGTTGAAAACTGTAGTTGCAAAAACACAGACAGAAGTGAGACTCTGGGAACTCTGATAGTGTCACTCACTCTAAGTGCAACAGGAGGCAGCAGTTGTTAATAAAATTCAGAGTTTCTCCAATTTGATAAAGAACATTTTCAGGGCTTTCACCCTTGCAGCCAGGAACTCGTCCATTTCTTTTGTATGATCTGTGGTTTTGGGAAAACACATGTGGATGCCACAATGGTAACTATAAAGATAAAGTGTTATAAACTTGATACAACTGTCAGTGAAGAGGTCAGTTAGTTATTATGACAAGAGAGTAGTCCAACCTTGAACATGGCTCTTGTGACACCTTTTTTCTGGGTCGCTGTCTGTGTGAGGAATGCTTTGTTTGCATCTGTGTTTTTCATATTACAGACATGGGTCCCCTGGGATATTGAAGGCTAGCCGATAAGGCGCAGCCACGCTGGAGGCAAATCATTAAATGGTTCTTACTACATTGCTCTACTTAAAACTATAGGCATATGTTTTTGTTTTGTCATCTGTAAATCAACTCTTTTATCAATAACTTCTTTACTTCTTTCTCTTCACTTCCCCCTCCTGGATTCTTACCCTCAGACTATTGGTTGTGTCTTTGAAGGATTTTGGGTCAACTTTGCAAACCTTTTTGTGGTGAATTAACATAATTGTTTTGTCTGAGACGATTGTCTCAGATGTGTTTATAGTGTACCCAAAGAATCTTCACACAGCACATAGTCTGGGATCCTGTTTCTCTTTCTAACCTCCGTTTTTATTCTGACACCCTTTCTTCCCTTTAACCAGTTACTGATCTGTAACCTTTCTGTAGTTACAGATCTCTTCATATCTTCTTTTCTTTCTATAGTTGATAAGATTGATGTTTGCATCCTATACTTTTCATCACCTTCCTCCTTCTCTCCCTTGTTTTTCCCACTTTTTACATTTACCTTTTGAATCTGCAAAATTGTGCTTACTTTTAAAATGTTCTTTTGTCCTTTTTACTTAAGCTACTGTAAAATGAGCACGTCTTTGTGTTGACTAGCTATACATTGACTTAATTACTCTGTGATGCTGTAATTAGTGTGACAAAAAATGGAAATTTGTTTTTTCTGTACATGTACCGTACTTCATAAAACACAGGATGGTGACACTAGTGCTAACTGTGTGTTTTTTTTCTTCCCAGGTGCTGCTGTGAACCTGACACTGGTCACGCCAGAGAAGGCCATCAAGTTGGCTGCAAATGACTTTTTCCGCCATCATCTTGCAAAAGATGGGTAAGTAAAAAACACAATGTAGAAAATAACTGAACATACCTTTATACCTTTTACTTCTGCTTTTACATCCTCCTCCTCTTCTTCTTCTCTTGCTCATTCTTCTTCACCACTTCCTTCCTCTTTTTCATCACCTTCTTATATTAATCTTCTGTCCACAGAAAAGGGCTGACGGTATTTAAAGAAATGCTAGCTGGTTGTGGTGCGGGCATGTGTCAAGTCATTGTGACCACGCCCATGGAAATGCTAAAGATACAGCTGCAGGATGCAGGCAGACTTGGTAAGTGAACCTTCACTAAAGTGTTTGAATCCATCTCCAGATAGATGACACATGACCTGTCACCAAATATACTGAGGTATTAATGTGGAATAACATCTTTCTCCTTTTGTTACAGTGGCCCAGCAGCAGAAGCCAGTCATGCTAACTCCCACAAAGCTTGTGGCTGCCAACACAATGCTAAGCCGCTCTTACAACTCTGGCACGGTGGTGTCGGCACCGCCACGAGCAGTGTCAGCCACCCAAATAGCAAAAGAACTGCTTCAAACCCAGGGCATTCGAGGGCTGTACAAAGGTCTTGGGGCAACATTAATGAGGTAAGATCAAGGGGGCAACTGAAACTCACTAATCAAGTTTTTCTGGGTGTAGTCTGAAATTACACTCTCATTTGTTTATTTCAGGGATGTTCCTTTCTCCGTTGTGTACTTCCCATTGTTTGCAAACCTGAATCAACTGGGAAAACCCAACCCTGACCAGTCGTCTCCTTTCTATTGGGCTTTTCTGTCTGGCTGTGCAGCAGGATCTGCTGCTGCTGTGACTGTTAACCCCTGTGATGGTGAGTCTGAAGTTGAGTTTCTGAAGCATCTTTTGTTTGACAATATGCTTGAAGTTTAGATCAGTTATAACATTTTAACTTGTCAACAAAGGCTTTATTTGGTGGCTGACAAAATGAACTTGTAAAGCACAATAATTCATTTCGGCATAATGACGCACATTGAACATCCAATAATTTGCCATCCTTTCACTTATCATTGCTCTAAATCGATGCACAGGTCAATTACATAGACACACACACACGTACTGGGAAGAAGTTTAAGTTTCACTGAAGCATCTCAAGCTTGAAATACTATCTCAAATCCCAGTGTGTGTTTGCAGAGGCTTCAACAGGTCAGAGGGCCAGTTTGTGTCAGATCAGACTGAATGAGATCAGTCAAAAAATAGGTGTGAAACACATCTGTTAGTCAGATTAATAAATGCTATTTCTTTTACAGTCCTCGTTATTTTTTTTAACTAAAAACATTCAAAAACTTGGAGCAATGAAAAGTGTTCTGCCTCTAACTGCCATCTATGGATTTGAAAGTGAGCATGCATTATGAGAAAGTGTTAAAAAGCCTTGTATTATCTTTGTGGGATCCATGGACAACAATAATCTGTATTTCTTTTTCTGTCAGTTGTGAAGACCAGACTTCAGTCTCTTAACAAAGGTGCTGCTGAGGAAACGTACAATGGAGTTGTGGATTGTATTAGGTAAGTCATTCATTCGTTACATACTGACACTCCATATGTTGTATAACATTTTTGTATCTCTGTTCATGCCTGTTGTGTAACAATAAACCCTTACTTGGTGTCTGCAGTAAAATCATGCGGAAGGAGGGACCTTCTGCATTCCTGAAGGGGGCAGGCTGCAGAGCTCTGGTCATCGCTCCTCTCTTTGGCATTGCTCAGGTCATGTACTTTGTCGGGGTTGGAGAATACATCCTGGACAACTCGCCTCTCAGTCTCATGTCGGTATGATGAGCCAACTATGCAGAAGACCTTCTGGGCATAAGGGATGAAAGATCTGGCAGCTAAGTACCAGGAGTTTACAGAAGAAAAGCAAACCAAACAAACGTTGCCTTCTTGAAAACGTCCAAAAGGCTTCAGGCTGTGAGGACCTCAAATTTTACCCTGTGTGTGGCTTGACAACTATTTTACAACTATGTTGCACTTGCACACTTTATGGCTTACTCTGTAGGCAATGGCCATTGGTTGGGTTGTTAGCCTTACTGTGTGAGGGACTGAACATTTGCAGTGTTTTTCTTTCCTTGTCCTGAGACTGTCCCATAATGTTTCCCTCTGTGAGGGACAAGGGCTCATTTCATCAAAAAATATTGTTTTCCTCTTTCACTATTTTCTATGTATTTAGCCACAGCTGAGTATAGCCTGAAGTAGTTTCTGTTAGATTTCCAGTTGCTGTCTTGTGTGACAGAATCCTTGCACTTGGGTGTCAGTGAAACCGTACACACTGAGGCCCAGTTTAGATAATTTGGCGCAGATGGAATGAGTTAAAAAAAAAACAAAAAAACTGAATTCACATCTATTCTGGACTGTTTCCATGTGTAAGACCTGTACTTGTGACATGGGACCATGCAATCTATTACACCATGTTCAGTATCCTGTTGAATACTTGATCATAGTCTGACTGCTATTGTACTTTGGTTGTAGCTTAAAAACATTGAAGTCTTTGTGTTGTCATATCTTCAAAAACTGATTTTAGATTATGACCCTTCAGTACTGTGAAGATTATATATGTGTATATATATATATGTACATATATATTTACACGTGTATATATGCAACCACTGCAGTAGTCGTTTATGCCTTAAATGTGCAGATAAACATTTCGTTGTAAGTATGACATATGCTCTTATATGCTACTCAAAAAAAGTAATTATCACATGGAAAATAACTGTTACCATACATGTGGACAATTGCCTTTTGTACATACTGTTAATATATATATGCATATAATAAATGTTTTGATGCAATCTTTTAGTGTTTAAGAGTAATGTATACTGTATGGATCAACAGTAACATTGATTTTAACAGTGTCACAGTCACTTCATGTGAAGCCACAGTGGTTAATCCCCATCTGTCACCAGATCTCATCCTGACTCAACCCTTAGCATTAGTCTTGGCTTTGGTCTCACATTTTCTGTCCAAGGTATGAGGAACGGCCTTGGTTTGAGCATTTTGCCCCTGGATACAGTGACATGAAGCAGGACTCGAACCAGCATCTACTGGTGGAAAGATCCAGTGTCCAGATCCCTTTGGCTGGTTAACAAATATGTTTTCTATTTAAGACTTGCACTAAGTACCTTGAGCATGAAGTAGAAACAAAATAAAGATCTCAACATAAAAACAAACCAGACCACTGTCACTCTTTTTCTTACTATGATTTGGGCTTGACAAAATTACAGTGCTACTGAATTAGGCAGATCAGTTTAATGCATGATGGACAATAACTATGATGATTTAGGCTTCCAGTTGAGACTCAACAATGGTACAGTGTTGTGGTCACTTTGTGTGAATGGCATTTATGTGAATGCAGAGTTTTGTAAAAGTAAATTTGCAGGGAAAAAAACCCTAAACAAACATGAGAAACCACTCAAACATAAAAGCACCCATGTATTTTTTTTATTATGCTCAACAATGTGACGTACGCTATTATTATTGTTGTTTCAAAATTCACATCTTATTGGCACACCAGCAAGACTTATCACACAAAATGCAAAACTAACTTACTGTTACACTTCACACATGCTCCGGAGAAGCTCAGGACAAAATGTTAACTAATCTGAAACATGATTTCTGGAACATTTACGTTTATCATCGGACCCTGACGCTCTGTGGTTGACTTCACGGCTCAAACCTTCACTATTGTGCTTTAACAAGTAGCAATACTTTCAGACTGGTGCCAGGCAGTTGGCACAGTCTTTCTGTACAGGACAAGGCATACGTGTATTAAAACAGAGTGTTAGGCCCATTACGAGATTAAAGTTGTACATATACGTGAAAAAGTCAGAGCGTTACGGCTTTTTCTTGTAAATTTACGACACTTTGCGACATTTACGACAATTGTTGTTTTCAGGTTGATCACCCATCTTGACGTCAGATGTACTGAAGATTTAACTTCACGAGAATACATTTCGACTGTAGTCTCGTGAATTAACGCAATTTTATTTTTCTCAATAAAGTTCAGTAGTTGGAGACCAAAGAGGCACATTATGGAAACGGAATCAGCAAAGGTCAGCTAGTCCTCAAAACAATTAAGCACACATATTCGAAGGCATCAGGTCTTTAAAGGAAAAACGGTTGAAATTCACGGAATAAATAATGTTAAAAGCAGCTACACAGTCAGTGTTTGTATTTACAGCAAATACTCCTCAGCAACAGCATCTTCGTTGTGGCCGCTGTGGAAGAGGGTGCTCTGACCAGGAAATGTTACACGGTTGTGTCAAATATGGAATATGTGTTACATAAGAGTGGAGCTCACCTTCAGTGCTCCACAGTGCTCAGTGCTATTGAGGAGATGTGATGACGAAAATTAATCATGTTGTAACTTGGTCTGTGAGATCATTCTGCGGTGTCGGTGTACTTTACAGTGATCAAACTAATGCAACATTACAGTTGCTTTATTAAATTAAATCACTGCAGGAAACTATACAACTACATTACGGGGTACCTTAAATCAACACAATTTAAACTTTAGCTCTTGTGGTTCACCTGACATTTACATTTAGGAGTTTTTCCAGGCTACATTCTGCCTAAAACATCTTAGTTTGACCACTTCGGCACGTAAGTTGCAACAGGTGTTTACCAAAAATTATGTGTTAAACCGTTTTTCTTCCATAATTGGGGGTGGTGTCCCTGGCCCAAAGGTTGGGGACTGCTGCCTCAGAGGCTTGACTTAACTAATTCTACTACTGCCAGCACCCTTGACTTGCTTCTTCTTCTTTATTGGATTTTAATAACAGCAGTGCATTGTTTTGGTGGCATAGCTGCCACCAACTGTATCTTTCTGACAGAGAATATCTTTCCTGATATTTTGCAATATATGAAGATAAGATGAATTTGAATTTGACCATTTTGTTTTAGAACCAAACTCTTAAAAAAACCTTAAATATGTTTTTTAAATACCTTTAGAGAACTATTTTTAAAAAATTGGGGGTCTGTTTATTGCAGTATTTTTGAAAAGGTCAGCTTATAGTTTCCAAACAGCTTTTAAATACAAGACGACACTGCACTCTAGTGGCTGAAGGTGTGCCATGCAACTCTTTACCGTCACACAAAAATGCGTTAAAACTTTTCCTTGGACACTAAAGGCATCACTGTGATTATTCTAGTGTACATCATTTAGTCTGGGTAACCTTATCTAGATAAGCTAACTACTACACCGTCAAACTGTTTACTATAAAACGTCAGTACGTCATCAGTTGAAGGTTTTTAAACGTATAATGTTAAAAATGTTTGATGTTCATTATGTAACCAGTAGGTGGCACAGTACCACTTGGTCCCTAATTGCTTGTAGGTGTGTTCAGGACAGGTATAACTACAAATGGAAATACAATTTAAATTCAGTTCCATATTGCATTTTTGCCAGAGCCATTATCAACAATTGACTCAAATGAAACAACCTAAGCTGACATTTTGAAAATGAAAAAGTAAAATCTTTTTTTTTAAGCAGGCAGTAACTTGTTAGCTGATTTTAATTGGTTTAAATGACTTAGGTCAAAGGTTAAAGCAGGGGTGAGACTTAGACCATGTTTTATAAAAGCTCCCACCCCCCCATGTCTATTTTAGTCTGGATTCTATAAACTCCTGTGAATATAATTCGATTGGTCACATATGATGCTTGCAGTGGTCTGGATGCTGGGGTCAGGAGTCAAGTCAGCATCTATATAACCTCCCTGGTGTTCCTGATGGCACAACACAGCACCATGCTGAAGATCATCCCCAGGATCTGAAATCACACACACACACACACACACACAGAAAATGTTAACCATCTGGTTAAAGCATGTTTTTTCTGATACAGCATTTCACTTCTGTTTTCTTTGAGATTTCTTACCATGACGCCTGCTATAGCGATGCCAATGTAGCCAATGATGTGCAACTTCTCATTGAAGAAGTCTGTAATTGCAGACAGACAGTCCTGGACAAAATACACCAATGGTTCATTATTATTATTATTATTATTGGACTTAATGTGTAACTGCAGCTACAAGTGTTTACCGGGGTGTCACTTGGGAATTCTGCACACAGGTCGTTGGGCACATCTGATGATGAACCACCACAACAATTCAACTGAGAGTAAAGAAAAGAGAGAAAATTCAGAGGGACTATTTCAGTGAACCTGCTTCTTTCTGTTTGGGTTTAAATGGCATCTGATGGGTCTTTCTTAAAAAGAAAATCTTACCAGAATAGTCCTGATTACTTATAAAATATAAGACACATAAGTGAATAATATATGCATGATCATTTATAAAGTTAATTTGATATAGTTTAACAGTAGTGATAATTTAAATATGTTTGAGAACAGGCAAACTCTTCTTGCTGTAAGACCAGAGCACTAATAACTCTTCTACAATATGATGCGACCTTCACTTTGTTCAACCTTAAACCTTCATGTTCATTAGACTGCCATGTCTGAATAAAATCACTAGGCCAAAATTATTATTGTAACTCAATGAATAAATAAAATGTAGCGATGATGCAGCAGGAAGGTGATTTGACTCACGGTTTTGTGGTAAATGGTTGCTATGGCAGTGCCGTTGGCAGTGTTGGTCTCAGAGATGGAGCTGGTGTAAAACTTCTGCACCTCCTCAACAATCTGTGAGAGATAGCAGTGTCATAAAGTTAATCTCATGTGAAACATTTTTTAAAATCAAAACTGTTTAGTGGTTTGTAAAAATCACTACCTGGTCCTTGTTTATGAATCCAAACACACCAGCAGTAATCTCTGCACCAAAGATGATGATGAGGCAGGCGAAGAACTGCAGAACAAGATCAGATTGTCGTTACAGACCTAACTTCAACACAAATCACACCGTTCCCCCCCCCCCAGAAAATAGCCAATAAAACTACATTATCATTTTGAAATTTAAAAGTGAAAAAATATTTTATTGCATAATTATGCATAATTACATGTTTTTACATCTGTGTCTCTCAACCAGAGTAAAATAATTGAGTGTATTTGGACCATGCTGTACTACTATAGAAAAATACTTAATGAAAACTATTGTTACATAATAAAACTAGGAATTCAGGAATTCTTACTCACCGACATGAGAAGACACTGAGATTCACGTACAGCTCCAAAACAACCGAAGAAGCCAACGACCATCATCAGTCCTCCAGCTCCAAGAAGGATGTACACGGCTGGAAGAACAACATT